AATACGCACAAAAACATCAAAATTAGCACAGAAACAGTACTATATAACATTTTAGACACATTCTAGACAGTTTATCAGCTAAAAAAAGTTAATTTAGGGGTAAGTTACTGTTTAACTTCTTTTCTTGGACCAGCTTTTGGGTAAGGCCTAATATCCTCTGGAGTTAATGTTTTGGTTGAGGTGATAGCTGGCTTGCTAGGGACTGGAACCGCTTGGTTAGTGCTTTGGCCTGGAGTAGCTGGGTCAYTCCTGGGTCCTCCTGTTTGATTTATTAGTTAGGGTCACTTGCCTGACTGCCCTCAGCATCACGTCAGGTTCTGCACTGCAATGTTCTGTTTGTCGTTTGTAATTTTTGTATTTTTAGCAATTACTGTGGTTTGTGATATTTGTGGATTGTTGTTTTGGTGCAGCTATTAGCTGTTTTTAAAAGCGCTTTATAAATAAAGTTGACATTGTAATTCCTGACATGTCTTATTGCTTTCTGCTCTCCTTTAAACTACCCCTTTTCTGTAAAAATAAAGAAAAAATATTATGACAACTACTGATAAGCAGATTGTCTGTTAGTTTAAATCCTTTTTGAAACTTGTCATTTTGGCTTAAGTTGACAACTTACCCCAAAATGACTGAGACATGTTGCCCCAAACTACCTTGTTTGCTAATGCTACCTCTAGCTCAAAGTTAGCTTAAAGCTGATCAAAAAGGTATGACAGGATGCCTTAATATCTCCTCTAACAAGTCCACAAGCATCACTGTTAGGATTTTTATATGAAAAGAAGCTTATTTTGAAATATTTCAGTTGATTTTTTTTTGTGCAAAAAGGTTAATTGGTGCTCATCTCACCTCACAATGTGCTAGTCTCTTCTCCTACAGGACAAAACACCTGATCATGTAAAGCAGTGGTTCCCAACCTTTTTAAACTTGTACCCTGAGCCATTTTGTCATACCCCTTTTAGTACCCCCTCTGTGAAATGATTCTCCAAATCTATAATGTACAACAGCTGATTTTTAAATTAAAATTATTTATTTAACCTTCACATTTAACATTTAATTCTCAGGCATTTTATTTTTTTTTTCAACTCAAATTAAACTTAAAGATAAAAAAGTTGCCTCGAAAGTGAATAAGTACTAAATAAATAAGCAGTTAATGGCAGGGGAAGGAAGCAGCAGCGTCCAAAATACATTGTATTGTCTAAAACAGTGGTTCCCAAACTTTTCAGCTTTTGACCCACAAAATAAC